TGTTCACCTTCGGTGAGGCCCCTACCACCATCTGACATTACCACTAGTTCCATGTTTACTATCTGTCTCAGCTAGAACATGAGCTCCAAGAGGAAGAGGACTTTGATTTCTAATGTCTCTGTTACTTGCTGGGCATACAGCAGATGCTCAATAAATATCTACTGAATAAAAAATGTAACATAATTAAATGAATTAAAAGTGTGACATAGGGGCTGGGGATGTGGCTCAAGCGGTAGCGCGCTCGCCTGGCATGCGTGCGACCCGGGTTCGATCCTCAGCACCACATACCAACAAAGATGTTGTGTCCGCCGAGAACTAAAAAAAAAATAAAAATATTAAAAATTCTCTCTCTCTCTCCTCTCTCACTCTCTCTTTAAAAAAAAAAGTGTGACATAAAGAAAAAATCCAATCAGAAACTTTGTGCAGTCATGAAGCACTATTTAGAAATTTTCAAACTGACAGACACCTATTTATTTTAGTGCTAACTTAGCATAAACACGGAGGAGAAGGGAACCACTGTGTACCTGCAGATTACCTGCACGAACCTCCTGGGCACAGGAACACACAGGCGCCCAATTTGGATGGTCCTGAGCATGCTGAACCTGCATCTCACTCTCTGACCAGGGAGAAAAACACCTTCTCATGCACTGGTTGTGAGATTAAAGGAGGTAATCCATTAAAGCCCTGGCCCAGCACATGGCAAGTAGGGAACAACGGAGAGCCAGAGAGCCGTGGGTGAGGGATAATAACCCACAGCTTTTGAAAAGCAGTTAGTTCTCAACTCTGGTTGGGGGATGAAACCCACCAACCCCCTCAACCCCCTGGGGGAAATTTACAAAATCCTGATGTCTGCCCCCACCTGCCAAGATCCTCAGTTAATTAGTCTGGGGTGCAGGCATGGGAGCTTCTAAAGTGCCGCCAGGGATGAAAACCCTTGTCTCAAAGATCCTCCAAATTACGTGCTTGGTCAGGAGGGCCTGCCAGAATTCGACCCTGGGATTACAGCCACTTCTCTTTGAGAGATCCCATGTCTGGAGATTAAAAGTCCTTAGAGACATGCAGGGTGAGGGGCATGCATCAGTGGTCCCAGCTACTTGGAGGGGCTGAGAAAGGAGGACCACTTGATCCAGGGGTTCAAGACCAGCCTGAACAGGTTGGGGATAGAGCTCAGGGATGGAGCTCTGCCTACCAAGCACGATGACCTGAGAGCGGTCCCTGGGGGAGGGAGAAACCTGAGCAACATAGTGTCCCTTGGGAAGGAGGGCAGGGTGGGGGAGAGGAAGGGGGACACTGATACCTCAGGTTCCGCACTCAGCGACAGATAACAGGGACAGCCTTCCCTGGGAGCATTCCCTCCCCTCCCCTCCCCTTCACCCTTTCTCATACCTATATTTTTCCATAATACTTTGAAGAAGAGTTTAAGAGCCAAGCATGTTCATCCACAGGAAGGTCAAGGTTATTTAGAACAGTAAGAAACAGTTAGTGTCCAATAGTGGAACTCTTACCTTTGGGGCTGGCAGGCTGTAAATGCCAGTCAATTAACATTTAACTGGATTGGAACAAGGTTCAAAATTCACAAAGGTCATAATTCGTTGAGCCTAGAAGTAGCTCTAGTCAGGATGTTGGCAGTGGATCACAGTGGACTTAATGGTCTCCCTGCAGGGGAGGTGCTCTTTTATCTTGCACACCCTGGCGTCTCGGGAGCTCTTACTGCGTTGGCGTTTCCCTCCCATTCTCCAGGACCCCGTTAGCTCCTAGCTGCATCGTAATGATGCTCCCAAGGACAACTAGTCATTGAGTTGGTTCAACAAATAGTAAAAATTTTATATTTAGATAGCAAAGTATTGTGGTTCTGAAATAAAATAACCCTATCCTAGGTGTCTATAAATTATCAGTGTTGGAGTCTGTGAAATACCAAGAGGTGTCCAAGTAGTCTCCCACTTCTGTCATGATGCTTAGTAAGGATGAAAAGTCATGCCTTTTTTTGCATGTGGTTTCACATGTGGTTACTATTAAAATGCCAGTTCTGGCTTTGATGATCATTGGATTGGGGCGAACACACACCACAGTATTTGTTAGGTTAGTTTTATGGTATGAGCTGGAACTGATGAGTAATTATTTTTATCTACCAAGAAATGGACCCAAGGGCTTTTGGTGGGTGTTTGATATCTGCACCAAAGGAGAAATCAACATGATTTCATTCTTCTCTCCTTAAGGAGACATCAAGTTGGCGGCAGCATGGGAGGGTCTCATGGACAAACTGGGTGGATACTGGCAAATAAATCACACTGGGCTCAATTCTGTCTTCAAGCTGTGTGAAAAAAAATAAGCTCTTCTATATTAAAGGACCTGAGTTAAAATTTAGTGTAGATTTTTACATGAATTTGAATCGTGATTCTGAAGAGATGAGACACAGCAAATATACAAGTGTCACTTCACGGACCTAATTTGAAAAAAAATCACCATCCTACTCTGCATTCAGTTCTATGCGGAGGTTAGTTTTAGGGTGGCAGGTGCCAAATTAATTGAGGTCACCAGAAAGTCATCCTTGAAAAACTGGCGATGAGTACCAAAGCTTCAGGGCATGTGTCCTATCACTGCTCCTCAAAGGGTATGAACAACCAGGGTTTTGTCAATTGTTGCTTCATATTTAAACCCAGGAGTAATGCTTCAGTTTACTGGGCACACTGTGAAATGAAGTCTTCCAATTTGGGGACCGTTTTGCATATTATATAATGAAGGCTTACTGCTTTCATGCCCAGATGTTTTCCTTTAGCATATTTGTGTGATAGCATTGTAAAACTCTCGGGCCTCCATTAGCAGGGTAAGCTGAATGGTCACTGCTGCTGCTTTAGCCAGGGCATCGGTAGCAATGCCTTACTTGGGGGCCCGATGGGTGCTGGCTTCTGTCTTCACTTGCTTTTCCAGTGGTATCTGGTTCTATGCTGCATCTTCTCTCTTTCCTTGATGACCATCTGTTGCTATCATTCATCACTCCAATCTAGTCCCTTGTTCACCCAAGTGCCCTCAACCCTGCCCATGTCCCTTATTTTAACCCCTATAGACTGCACAGGGCTTCAAAGGGCAAGAATTAAATAAAAACCAGACCTGGGTTAAGGCCAGGGGCCTTGTCCATGGAAAGTAGCAAGCTTTTGTGAAAAGTGGCTCAGATACTGACTTCTGGGGGTTGGGGTAGACTTAGGCTCTGTTCCAGCTGAAGACTGTGAGACAGCAGAAGTCTCAACCTCACCCTCTCGCAGGATGCTCAGCACTCAACGGCTGCACTACACAGAGATGCATTTTGCATGCCCCAGAGGCAGCCTGCTGCCCAGACCTTGAATTTCATTTACTCCTGGGTGATCTGTGATGCTCCCAACCACTTACGTATAATAAGAAAATAACAGGGCCTTATGTGCAGGGCTGTCATTCACATTAGTGCCCGGTACCTGGAAGGTGCCCAATTAGTACTTATGAGTACCACAGAATAAAATAAATCTCTCTTAAGGCATAACCCTCATTCAAATACAAAATTTGCAGATCTGTTTTTGCCAGTTTGCATGAAGAACAAAGCCAATAAATCCACATTTCTCACTTATTTGTTTTTGGAAAAAAAGATTAACAAGAAAACAAGCAGGCCAGACACCATGGGAGGAGGAGCTGAGACCTCAACTTGAATCGCACAGTTCCTGCTCCCAAGAGCAACACAGGCAAGCCCACCACACCATTATGTTACTCATTGTGGTGAGAAGTTCAGCCTCCCTGAAAGGTTCCTGTTACTCACTGTTGTGGTGAGAAGTTCAGCCTCCCTGAAAGGCTCCTGTTTCATTCTGAGATGACCACAGCTTGATTAAAGTTTATCTATTAATTAAGAATGACCCTGACCCATAAAAGAACTTGATAGCTATTCCTAAACAAATTTGCTTATTCATTTTTATTTTAGCTAACATGTCAGTGTGGAGGATGTTAGTCCTTTAAAAGTTTATATATATATATTTTAATTAGAAAAGAATAATATGTTCTGGGGATTGATGGGCTCAGCGGTAGTGCATTTGCCTAGTGTACCTGAGGCCCAGGGTCCAATCCCTAGCATAGAAAGAAAAGGGGGGACAATCTTTAAAGTGTCTTAGGCTAGAGACACAAAAGCAGAAAAGGAGAAGGAACAGAGACAACTCGTGACTTAATGCTATAATGCTTGTTTGGCTGCCACTGCTGGGGGAGGAGAGGGAATGGAGGTGGCTGTAGCCCAGTGGGTCCCTCCCATGCTGACATCTCATGGGTGGGAGAGGGAGGGTCTGCGGTTATGCTGACAGCAGCCCAGTCCTAAGCCTGCCCAATTCAGAACCTGCTGTCCCCTTCCAAAGCAAAGGAGGGTTAGCTTGCAGAAAACATTTCTTGATAACTTGATTGGTTTCATTAGGATGCCTTTCCCTTCAGTTTGCCATGGCATGGAGAGTCGCTCTGCTTTGCAGTGCAGATTTTAAAAGTCTATGACGGGCTTTCCCTCTCCCCAAACCCTTGCCCTTTTCCTTTCCAACCTGGGCCCTGCAGAAGGGTTCCTGCAAAGAAGGGAGGCCGAGAAGATGGGTCATTCTGCCACCAACAAGGTGTTGAACCAAGAATTCACCAGCAACATTCACAGCGTGTCCATGATGTGGCCTTCAAGAAGCAAGCCTCTCAACACTCAGAGGCCGGGAAATTCCCTTGGAGGAGACAGAGATTCCAGATGGTTGCACTGGTACTGGGCTCAACAGAGCTGCTTGGCCTAGAGGAACCAGGCCGTCCTGTACTGTACCTGTGTGCAGTTGTCCAGAGGACAGTGAGGACAGAGCAGGGCCAACAAGCCCTGCCCTTGGTTACTCATGTGCCCATTACTGCTCTCAAAATGCTGTGATGGTTAAAGTTATCAAGCCACACACACAACAGTTCATGACAGACACATTCTCAACTGAGCCATGCTAGCTGTTGCTGCAGTCCCGGTGGCTTTACAGTGGATCATGTACCTGAAAGGGGTTCTCCAGTGCTGTCCGGAAGGCCATTTTCTTCTCCCTAAAAACCAAAAAGTGACTGTCATTAAAATCACAAGCACATGTGAACGGCGCTATCGTCAACTTTCTTCTTCAGTTGAATTTCTACCAAGACTTGTGAATGGGATGAATGTTTAGAAGGGCACTTCAATGGGATGTAGGGGTGTGGAGAGCTGAGCTGTGCGGCTCTCTCTGAAATCTAACCTTCTCAAGGGAGCAGCTTTTGTTTATTTGCTCCCTGGCTGAGTCCCAGTGCCCAGAACAGATCTGCCAGAGTAAAGCTGTGTAAGTGTTCATTAGATGCATTAAGGTCCTGTTTAAAACAAATGATGATGCGCGTAATGATGTGCTACCTTTTAATTTTTACTTCATATTATGGCTTATTTCTCTTTCTGCTTTGTGATGGGCTGGGTTTTGCCTAGATTACAATTATTTTATCTATTATATTGATTTTTTAAGGTACCTATTGCAAAACAGCTAAAATGAACTGGGAAAAAGCAGTGTCTAGGTCCTGGGAGGGGTGACGGCACTTTTGCCCGTCCAACTGGGGTTCCTGCTTACAACCAAGGCCATGCCATGTGCACCCGGCAGGAGGGACCTGCTGGGATCTTCCTGGAGTGGCGTGTGTCTTCCAAGGCAAGGCCCATCCCAGCACACCTCCTTTTCTGTGACTGCACCTTCATGCACCTGAAGCCTCCCTGGCAGCCAGTGTGGCCCCATCCATGCTACACAGAGGCAGCAGTGTACGGCGCTATCGTCAACTTTCTTCTTCGGCCTCCACAGCCGTCTTCTACAGCTTCAGCTGCTCACCCCCACCTGGCCTCCACCCATCCTGTGGTCAGGGCTGCTGGATTGGCACAGCCTGATGGGGCCTCTAATCCTCAGGTCTCTGAGAACTTTGCTCTTAAGGAAGTGCTAACTCCATGGTGTCATGAACTCTTTCTTTTCATCTCAGCCTCCCACCAAGCCCCCCCCCCCACCTCCTGCTTGCTCCGCAGTGTGGTCACATTTGTCTAATCCCCTCCCCCCCAAGCATTTCCACGTCTTACTAGCTCAGAATTTCCCCCAGGGAGTCTACACAGTTCTCACTCTGGTGTGAGTCCTCTTCCTATCACTCACTGTCACAGTGGAAACAACAATAAAAGCAATGCTTATCACAATTCATAAAAATTCTTTAAAAAAAATTCACTTGAGGTTGTACTTTGTTCTCACATTTCCTTCACTCAGGGAGGTATGTGTGTGAGAGAGAGAAAAAGAGAGAGAGGAAGCAGCACAGGAGTCCTTTGCAGGAACAGAAGTGTCTCTTTGAACAATTGTGTACATTCACAACCTCAGGAGGCCCCAATGCCAGGGCTTGTTCCCGGGGACCTGGCTCTCTTATGTGCGCTCCAGCAGGCCGGGCAGGTCTGCTCACGCTCTCTTCAGCATTGGCAGCTCTGCCTCTTGCCCTGGAACCTGGGCTGTGGGAATGGGAACTTCAGGTCACGTGCAGACACACAGATGTTAGAACTTGACAGATTAAATGGTATGAGGTCCCTGCTAAAACGCATGTTTTCCAGAAGTGAAAGCTACATTACAATGCATGTTTGCCTTGATTTTTCGTAATCCAGAGAGAACTTTTCTGAAGTCAGTGTTTGGCCACCACCATCCCTGTGATGTAAACAAGGAACATGGCCCAGGAGGGCCCTGAAGGGTGATGAGGACAGGATTTAGATCGACGTCTGGACCCTGTTCTTGGCTCTGATTATTAGGTTGTGCCACTTCACAGGTTAATTGTCAAGAGTGATAGCTGGATCTTGGCCAAAACCACAGCAGTGCCTCATTCTCTACCCTGTGTTAATCACGAGCACTGCTGTCAATGCTCACGTGAACCCACGTCAGTCACGGAGCATGAGATGTTCAAATCCCATGTTGGAACCGTACTCCAAAGTAAGGACCTGGGCCCTGCCCTCAAGGGAGGCAAGGGCGCCACCAGAGGGAAAAGGTTTCTGCCAGCTGAAATATCAGAGGCTGTTTCTGGGGCGCAGAGGTGTCTGAGATAGGGCCTGGAGGTGGGCACGCCAGAGGCCGGCGAGAGCCGGAGAGGCCATGGAAAACACGGGCACCTCTGGGGCGCGGTGTGTCAAGCAAGGGCAAGGAGGGGGAAAGAGTGAGGGGGCAGGAAGTGGACTGCAGCCCTTCCAGGGGCTGGACTTCATTTCACAGACACAGGGAGTCACGGAAGCTCTCCTCAGAGGCAGGGTGTCCTCAGAGCTGTCTAGGATTAGTGCAGGAAATGCCCACCTGGCTGCAGGACTCAGGGGGGTAGGGACAGGCCAGGGGAGGGGAGGGGAAGCACAGATGAGGCTTGGATGGATGCCCTCACCTGGGAGGACTGCGGATAAAGCAAGAGCTGCCACAGAGACAGTCACTGAGGGCAGGGCCAAGGAGGCGGAAAGAGGAACAGGATTTGGAGAGGTCGTTGACAATGCAGGAAGTCAGGCTCCCTCTCGTCTGAGATGCTGGTGGGGTTTCTGGGAGAAGCCCCCAGACAGAAGATGGAAATAAGGTGTTGAGGTAGTCGTGGGAGAAAAGACTGGAAGTGGGTGGGCATGAGCCGAGGGCACTGAAAAGCCTACGTTTGGGTGGCAGAGGCAGAAATGAAGAGCAAGAGGAGAAAGGTCAGAGAAGGGACAAGAAGCAGAAGGTGCTAGCACCCAGTGCAGGAAGGCACCAGGTTCTGAAGGTCAGGAGCAGACAAGACTTGGAGGCGGGGAGTGGTGCCCAGTGCCCTAGAGAGCAGTACCAGCAGAGGGCAGAGGGAAGGCAGCTCCCCAGATGATCAGAAAGGCTAGGAGAGCTGCCTACAGCCACCCAGCCCTTTAGCCTGCCCAGGCCTCAGTTTAGATGGCACTTCCTCAAGTGCCTTCTCCCACCCCCAGTCTGGGTTTGTGCCCTGGGTGTTCCCCAAGCACAGCAAGTACCTCATGCTTACTGTGCTTTAGGGATAGCACAGGTCTGAGCCAGTTAACACCCTGTATCTGTGGAGGGAGGGAGGGCCAAGGTCACCGGCAGATGCTGTTGGCATTGTCCAGGTCAGGGCACGGGCTGCAGTTCAGCACAGTGCTCTCTCTGCCCCTCCCATCCTGTCACCCTGCCCCAGGGCCTCATCTCCACAAGTCTCCTATGGTCCCATTGTATTCCTGTCCACACACCTGCGGCTAGTTCTGTCTGTCAGTGAGGGCCACTGGCTAATCCTTAGCTCTCCCAGGCTTGCTCTGAATAGATCTAAAGGCTGAGACAGGAGGATCTCAGGTTCAAGGCCAGCCTCAGTAACTGAGCGAGGTCCTAAGCTACTAAGTTATCTAAAGGGAAGGTACGGTGCTCTGCAGGGCCACATGGCCTGGTGAGATACTCAAACACTGTCCAGGATGTCAGAGGGACTCTGTGAGTGGCATTTACACATGGGAAAGAAGAGGGGAGAGGTGCACTTGCAAATTACAGGAATCTGTGATTTTATTTTTTTTTAATATTTTCTTTTCTTTTTTAAATATTTATTTCTTTTTAGTTATTGGCGGACACAACATCTTTGTTTGTATGTGGTGCTGAGGATCAAACCCGGGCCGCATGCATGCCAGGCGAGCGTGCTACCACTTGAGCCACATCCCCAGCCCCAAATCTGTGATTTTAAATGTGCATAAATTAATTTAAACTGAGTAGGCATTGGCATGGATCAAATATGGTTTGTCCCCAAGGATTCATATACTAGAAGCTTGGGTCCCCAGTGTGGCAATGTTGAGAGGTAGTGGGACCAGTGGAAGTCGTTAGGGTACGAGGACCCTGCTCAGAGGGATTAAGTTCGTTCTCTGAGACCCTGGTTACAGTCTCTTGAGGGGGTTGTTATGAAAGAGCCCTCCAGCTCTCTGGCTTCCTGTCTTGCCATGTGATCTTCCCTCTCTCGCGTATTCTGCCAGGATACTATGAGGCTCTTCTAGTTTCTTAGAACAAGGGAATCATCCAACCTTGGACTTTCATCCTCCAAAACTGTTGGCAACATATACCTCTTTTCTTTATAAAGTACCCAGTCTCAGGTATTTATTATAGCAATTAGAAACAGACTAATATTCATACACATTTGGAAAGTTTGTCTACCACCCTGAAACATGTTAACTTTTCTCAACTCTAGCTGGGAAGAGATTCTCATTTAATTGGTGTATTGTGGGACCCAGGTAAGAGTTATTTTTTGAAAATCGTAATAAGTTTTAGTGTACTGCAGGGGTGAACACCAATATTTTATTTGTTCAAATAGGCTAAGAAAAACCCCATTTTACAAAACTTTCTCATTGTGGATATAACAGAATTATTTTAGTACTGGGCAAAATGTGTTAACTACTGCCAAGAATTCTTTCAACAGAGAGAAAATTGGCAAGGTTTCAGGAATTTTGTCCTCTGTTTGGTTTATAAGCTGCTAGGTCCCGTTTTTACTCAGGGAGCTGAGAACTCTGTGTGCTGTAGAACAGCTGCCTGTAAAGATTTACATGAAGATTTCATACCAGACTCTAAGCAGAGAAAGTCTGGGGCCCAGAGCATGGCCTGGGAAAGGCTCTCAACTCGGAGCTCAACATGTAGCCCACCCGGGGATGGAATGACATGGTTGGGTACTGACATTAATAGGGAAGTCCTGTTAAATAAGATTCACAGGAAGCCATCGAACTGCACTCCTGCACTAGGCCCTAACCAACCAACCCAAAATGGTTGGTTCCTCATGCTAGGAACCCACATCACCAAAGTAAAACCTAAGCTGCTTACTCCTAAGACCCAACTTCCTCCAGAACCAGGAGAGAGATCTCCAAACAGGCCAGTTAAAAAAAAAAAAGAAAAGACACGAGATTTGCAAGAACTGATCCAAAGGGGCCCAGTCCACCTGAGCTGGCAGATAAGGGAGTCCCTTCTGCTCCAACCCCAACAAGGAAAGTGATCTGAGACAACCTCATGACAACCCATCCACCTTTTGCACTGTGCTGTTCCTTTCTTCCTGCTCAA